AATGGCTGACATCAATCAAAACAAAGGTGTCGAATTTAGGAGCCAACAGCTAGTAAGTAGGGTAGTGGTGGGTGCATGTATCTGAAATGACGGTTGATGGGAATTTCACGATGATAATGACATCAGCACACTACGTAAAATAGTATGGAAGAAATATCGAAAATGTCTTCATCTCCCTCTAGTCGAAAGAGAAATTTTGGAGGGCAATTTGTTAGCTGGGATTTTCGACAAGCCTCAAATTCTAGCATAGTAAAGGGGAAGGTGAGAAAGCTTTTAGTGAAGATTTGGTGATGTTCGGGAGCATGATCGATATTCGTGTTGATAACTTTTTGACATGAAGGTGGTTGACTATGATGTCGACATCTAACTTGGAAAAAAGAGTTATGGACTTAGTAATTTTCCAAGCAACAAGTGAAGACATTTAGACCAAGGCAGTTGAAATGTACAGCATGACTGAATAACCAATTTTTTCCTTGTTTGTATTAAAGAGACATGTGGAAGTAGTTTTCAAAGCAAAGACATGCAACAGGGAACATTGCACTCAGTGGAGAAAAGCCAGCCTTTAGCAGTTATCTAGATTTTAGTATAAATAGTAGTTCTAACGATAGAATTGGGGTGTCAAATTTACTATCCAACTCGCAAAACTCAGAGTACCAAGAGAAGAGAGAAATTAGTTCCAAGAGTAAAATGTATGCTTGATCACTAGTTTACATTTATGCGAAGCTTTACTTTTGAATTTACATTCGTTTGTAGTTCTTTTCCATTGTCGAGCTCTTTATTTTTTAGTCAAGTTTCACTTTAACTTGTTTTACTTTCATAGCATGATTTCTCCCACTGTCGAAATCATTCATACTTTTATTACCTTCACATTATTTGGAAAACTTCATGCATATTGTTTTAAGACTCTCTAGTCGGTCTTGCGAGTAACCTTTAATAAGAGACTAGCGGTGTTTACTAAATCTTAGGGTAAACACTACCCAACATAAAGTTTTGGTTATTGATGTAAGAGTCAAGAAAAGGTCTAAAAGAAGAAGTCACATGGGAGATCCACGAATTAAGTGGTGGCATTTGAAGGGTGAAAAGCAAGGAAGATTCCAACATATGATCTTGGAGGGTTTGAGAAACCACAAGTGAAAATGATATGTGGAACAAGATGGTCTAAGAGATTAGAAAAGTAGCTAAAGAGACGTTAGGAGAATCAAGAAATTTTGGACCTAAGGGTAAAGAATCATAGTGGTGAACTGAAAGTGTTCATATTAAAGTTAAAGTTAAAAGAGATTATTTTAAAGAATGGTCTAGGTATAAAAATATTAAAACTTGGGATAAGTATAAGAAAGCTAAGAATGAGACCAAGAAGGCGGTGAATGAAGGAAGAACTCTAGCTTTTAATGGATCATATCAATCATTGGCAACCAAGGAGGGAGAAAATTGATATATAGGCTTGCTAAGGGAAGAGAAAGAAAAACAATGAATTTGGATCAAGTAAAGTGTGTTAAAGATGAATAAGGAAAAATCTTGGTTCAGGAAAAATGATATAAAGGATAGGTGGAAGACGTATTTATACAATTTATTTAATGAAGGATATGAAATATCTTTACACTCTAGCAGACTCGACATTAGAGAAGAGGATCGAAACTATAATTATTATTGTCGGATTCATAAACAAGAGGTAAAAGAAGCGTTGAAAAGAATGAGCACCAGTAAGGCAGTTGGGCCAGAAAACATACCTATTGAAGTGTGTAAATTTATTGGAAATAGAGGTATTGTGTGGCTCAACAAACTCTTTAACGAAATTATGAGGTCAAAATAAATATCAGATGAATGGAGAAGAAACATTTTAGTTCCAATCTATAAGAATAAGGAGGATATATAAAATTGTGCAAACTATAGGGGGATTAAGCTTATTAGTCATACCACGAAGTTATGCAAAAAAGTGGTTGAACAAAGACTAAGAAAAGAGACTCAAGTCACTGAGAATCAATTTAGTTTTTTGCCTGGGATGTCGACTATGGAATTGATACATCATCTACGATGGGTGATGGAGCGGTATCAGACGAACCAACAAGACTTGCACTTAATTTTTATTGACTTGGAGAAGGCGTATGATAGAGTGCCTATAAATATTTTGTGGGAAGTCTTAGAGAAGAAAGGGGTTAGGATTGCATATATCTGAGGTATCCAAGATATGTATGAAGGGGTACCAACTAGTGTGCAGACACAAGGTGGAGAGATGGAAGATTTCCCTATTACAATAGGTTTACTCCAAGGTCCAACCCTAAGCTCCTACCTTTTTACTTTAATTTTGGATGTACTCATAGAGCACATTCAAGAGCTAGCACCAAGATGCATACTTTTTACAGATGATATAGTCCTACTGGGAGAACTGAAGGAGGATTTAAGCAAGATGTTGGAGACTTGAAGTGAGCTTTAGTATGGCTTTCACCTTAGCAAAAGTAAGACGAAATATATGGAATGTAAGTTCAAAAAGAGGAGAGTCGTTTCTGACCTAGAGGTAAAAGTTGGAGACCGTATTATTCCAAAATTTACACGGTTTAAATATCCTGAGTCTGTAATACAAAACGATAGAGAAATAGATGAGAATGTAAACCATCGAATTCAAGCAGGATGGATGCAATGGAGGAGGGTTTCAGGGATTTTATGTGATAGAAAGGTACCGCACAAGTTGAAGGGAAAGTTCTATCACACCGCGGTAAGACCTGCGAAGTTGTATGGGACATAATGCTGGACGCTTGAGAATCAACACAAAAATAAAAGTGTAGTAGAGATGAGGATGTTGTGTTGGATGTGCGATGAGATTAGACATGATAAAATTAAAATTGAAAATGTCAGAGAGAGTGTTGGGGTATCACCTATAGTAGAAAAAATGGTTGTGATTAGACTTTAGTGGTTTTGACATGTAAAGAGAAGACCTTTAAATTTTATGGTAAGGAGAGTATATCAGATGGAGAGGGATCAAATAATTAGAGGTATAGAAAGACTTAGAAAAAAACTATAATAGAAGTTAATAAATTAGACAAATAAATTAAAGACAAATAAAAAGTTCTCAATTTCTCACATATAACTAAACTTTAATGTTATAAATCCTTTATCAATAACAATTCAAAATATTTAATTTTTATTTAAGACAAAAAATAAATACATATCTTTAACAACTTATAATTAAATATCTAAAAGAGAAACAAATATAAAAAATACATTAGAGTCAAAATAAAAAATAAATCGTTAATAATATCTTCTAAATTTAATTAAATTTACAAAATAAAAATCTTGTATGTCACTCTTAACTTACAAACATACATGTTTTTTATTTGTAATTAATTCATATTATTGTCTCAATTATAATTTTTAATAAACTACTATAATATAAATTTGTTTATCATATTTACGAAATAAAAATCCTTAATATAATTAAAACTAAATATAAAACAAATAAAAAATAATTAATAGCCACGCAAGACACAGGTCTAAATTTAATTTTTAATTATTTGAAGTCATTTAATTAATTACCATTATTCATTATTCTTTGTATTACACATCAAAGTCTAAATGTGTTTAAATTTTCAATTATTCTATCCGTTTTTCATTACAAATATAAAGAATATTGTTATTTTTTAACATTAAAAATAAAAAAATTAACATAGTCTACAAACATATTATTATTTATGACTAAAAAATGAGTATGTACTGAAAAGTGAGAAAAAATAAATAAAAAACAAAACCATATATAAAGCGTATAAAAATATAATGTTAGACAATATTGCTTTTAAATCTATGAAATCATAAATTTGTTTTTTTACATTGCTTTTAAATCTATCAGACATTTTCCCATACATAGCTTTTAAATCTATTAGATTATAAACTTGTTGTCACGCACTACTTTTAAACCCATCACATGCAGCTTTTCCCTTGCCATTTATTATTTCTTGATCTTGCAAATGCAAACATTATTATGAACCTCAGCCAAGAGCATTGAACCCATAAAACATTTATTAGCATGGTCTGTAGTACCATGTGAAAATGTGAATGTCATAGAGTAGGAAGCAATAGTGTCCTTTGTTTTTGTTATGGAAATAATTGTGTCCTTATATATTTAACCTTGCCTAGGACACAGTAAATTATCATCACATAAACAAGACGAAAGTGGCAGACACATATATGTGCTGGCTCAACGTGAAAAACTGTACTATGGTAAAGCAAAATGGGCCATCTTATGATACTGACCCTCTTAATAAATTTGCTATTTTGGCTGAAAATGACCAAACACAAATGCTAAAGTAACACCTCAAATTGCAACTTTTGTTTTTTTACGTCTTTTATCATAAATCATGTGTTTCAGTTTTTGATCGTCACTTTCTTAGCCTCATTCATAGTTGCATAAAGAAGATATATAACTCATATATTTCTTCAGAATCTCAGTCACATGAAATTAGCAATTAACCATGTACATTCAAACTTTATCGACCCAAAAGCACTTTAAGAAGATGGTAAGAAATCTCATCCCTCTTAATTAACCACATATTTTGTATTTGAATCGAGTCTTAGTTATTCAGTTTTACCGTCCATTGAAGTTAGAGATATGCATATGAGAAGATGCAGGCCTAAAACCTTGATCTGTTCTGCAAACAAACACTGGTAAAATGGCATGACCGGCAAGCCAAACCCATCTTGTCACCCTTATTTGTAGTCTTCTTCGATCGATAGATTAATCTCTACCATCGCAGACAAAGAATTGCATTTTCTATTAACAAAATTATTCAATCTAACAATATTAATATTTGTCTGTTCCTACCAATTAATAGATTTCATGCCACATTTTCCTATCAACAAGGTTAAGACAAAAGGCAATCAAATGGAAATATGCAACATAATCATTAATAGTAGCTGCCAAATTTATCATAATAATAACAAACTTCAACCCAAGAACAAGAATAACAAGAATAAAAAGACAAGATGAATCAGTAATTTGGATCATCACATATTCATGAACAACAACTTGTGCATCTGATCAATCCATTCTCATTACAATGAACACACCTTTTCAACTTCCCTTGTTCTTCCTCAAACACTTTCCTGCTACCATTGCAATTATGACAAGGCACAAACCTCGCATCACCGCATTTATCACAAACAAACCAAAGATCTTGAGTTGGAAAACCATTCAACAGTTTCGCCAATTCACCAGACTCATTCAATTGCTTCAAATCCTCCGCATTTCCAACATGTTTCCCTCTGATAAACACCTGTGGCAATGTCACTACTGATTTTCCATCAAGTGCATTCTGTAACTCCTTTCTGTAGGATGAATCCATAGAAATGTCTCTTTCATCGACCGCGACTCTAAATCCTCTCAAAATCATTCGCACCGAACAACAATCTTCGTAAGTCTTTCGAATCCCTCGCAAACTTGTGCTGTAAACAACTATTCTGTCTTCTGTTCCAGGTAGCAGACACAAACTTTTACCAAACAAAGATGAACAAGAAGGGTTCATAGGACTTGATTCCATTGATCTTACACATCTTAACCTGTTGTTGTTGTTGTTGTTGTTGTTGTTGCAACCTAGTAGTTGTCTTGATGACAATGCTCTTCTGTAACTCCAAGCAACACTTGGATCCAACTTAGCTAACAAAGCTTCTTCTGATAAATGCTTCCAAAGTGGTTTCTTCACAAAAGATTTGGAACTTTTCTCTTCCATTACTGCTTCTGAAGCTTTCAATGATTGAAATGAATCAAGAAGTTTCTTTTTTGCAGACCCATCAAAGGCTGTGTACCTGCATGAACTGTGTTTATCTGAAAAACTCACTGGGTTGTCAAAGATTAAAGCTTTATGAACATTATGAGAATCTTCATGTTCATCCAAACCATCCATGAGTTCCCAAGTGTTGATAACAGAATCCGGAGAGAGAGATTGTTCTTCATCGTTTTGAGATGTTTTGGTGAGATGGGGTTGTTCAATAGAGGTAAAGTTAGGGACTTTTTGGTCAATTAAGAGAAGAGAACCATAGGTGGTGGAGGTTAAGGAAACAAGATGGTGAGTGTCACCTTTTTTGGTTGGAGGGTGATGGATAAGAGGCATTGTGAGTGACAAAGCTTTTCTAACAGGTGGTGAGGAGTTGAAGTATTGTGAAGCATAAGAAGGTGAGAATGAAGAAGTTGATGAAGATGAAGATTGAAAAGAGACAGAAGGTGTTGTTGGATCTTCTGGGTTTTTGTTTGCAACTATGGTTGTTGTTTTTGAAGCTGAGCAACCCATTATTGCACAATTTGAGACCTCAAAATTAAGAAAAATGGGCTATGCTACTTTTGATTCCTCTCTCCAAAAAAAAGGGCACTTTTTTATTATATTTTTTAGAGGACCATTTTGAATTAATGATTGTTCTATAGAGGAAGAGGATTCTAGAGGTTTTGGAGAGTTGGATGGAAAGGATGAGAGAAAGAGGGAGGTGGTAGAAAGGGAGCTTTCAAGTAGGTTTGAAGGGGGGAGTTGATGAACATCAATGCTATGTGTAAATGTGAGAAAAGAAATTGGGGCTTTAGGACCATTTTTAATTGATATTAAGAATTGAGATTTGAGAAGAAAGGGACCATTTGTTTTGGGAAATCAATAAAGTGGTAAGATTTGAGAGGGGACAATAAGCATTGGAAGTTTCTTTTGTATTGTTGTTTAGGGTAAACATTTTCATATCAAAATACCTAAACCTCCTTGTAAGTATTGTAATCTATTTTAACATGTAAATACATAATGTAGTTGACTTTTTCTAGAATGAAGGAGTAACACGAATAAATTGGATCTCCCAAGCTCGTAATTCTCGTTTCTTAAATGTTCAATTTCTTATGGCTTTTGTTTAGTTGAAATTTTTTATAATATCCTTTTTAATTGCAACTTATCGGGCATTTATTTATGATGACCATTCACACACTATAGTAAATTATAAAAATACTTTTAAAATATTGAGATGCATATCTAAAGATACTAAAAATCCACATTTTATCTATTTTTAAGTGGGTACGTTAAAAATTAATATGAATGTGTATCTCCTTAAAAAATATGAAAATACATTTTTAAGTAGATTTTGAGTCATATTAATGCGATAGACATTCTCTTTTTCTCATTTCTAATAAAAATATCTTATAAATTAAAATAAAATGTGTGAGTACAATATTCTCTGTTAGATGTTTTGTATGATGTCAAAATTAAAAAATATACAGTATTTATATATTAGACGATATCTCTCTATGTCTAGGTTGCATTTTCGTCTTAGGACACTTAAGGATCATGTCAAAAGCTTTTGGACAAGTATAACATTTCAAAAATATGCATTTTTGTGAAAAATTGTGTTTGGAGTTGACTCCCCCCCGTGTTAGGAGTCGACTCCCTCTGAAGCATTTTCAAAAAGAAACTCTCTGGCCAATTCGAGTCGATACATAAGGTATTTGGAGTCGATACACAACTGAAGGAGTCGAATCCCTTGAGTTGTGGATCGACTCCTACTAAAAATATTTTTGAAATTAATTCTCTGGTCCAGATGGGTCGACTCCCTCGCATCTGAGGGTCGATACGTTACACGAAGGAGATGACTCACACGTGTGTGTATCGACTCCTATTGAAGTTGATTTTTCAAAATTTGTTTATGTCCAAAAGGAGTCGACTCCTAGACAGTATGGATCGACTCCCAACAATCATTCTTTATTGGGTGCCATCTAGAGATAGCTTGATAACGTCCAATTAGGCTTCAATGTAATTGATTGAGTTGAGAATTCTTTGGGGGTTTCAAATAAGAAAACCAAGTTGGGGTTTTCCTTCAAGATCATTGGTGATTTGAAGGTTTTGAACAAGATTACGCAATTTGGATTCAGCCAATTGAAAGTTTCAAAGAACGGTGGATTCGGTCGAAGGAGTAACGGTAACTGGAGGATCACTCTGGTAAATCTTGGGTCACGATACGTTCGCAATTTAGATTCAACCGAGTAAAGGCTTTGAAAAACAGAGGTTCTTGCAATGGAGTAACGGTAGAAGGAGGATCAAATTGGAAGTATCGGGTTAACTTGGTCGAGCTTAGATCAAGGGAAGAAAAAAAGATATGATCAACATTATAACTAGGGGTTTGGATTGTTAGATTACTACTTGTTCTCTTGTAAAATTAAATTTGCAAAGCTTAATTTTCATTATCTCAATTTTGAACGAAATTGGGGGCAAACATACCCAAATTCTTCTCTTTCTCTCTCTACTTTACTTGTAAATTGTGAAATTGTTGATTGTGTGATCGATACATAGAGGTAATCTCTTTGGTTAATACCTCAAACTATTTTGTTGATTTTATTACAATCTATATGATTGTAATTGATTTCTACTATCAACAAAATCATACAAAAATCTTTTTTGTGTCGATTGCAAGTAAAGTGTTCAAATATTTGCCTCAACTAGTTTTTTATTTATTTTTCATTGGAAATTGATTGCAATAGCGTGGTTTATTCAAATTTGGTGTGCTGGAAATATATTGGTTGTTTTTTTCGTCGTACGTAAACTCATTTTATCAGTTTAATGCATATTCGATCTTTTTTATAATGGTTCAGATAGACGATTGTCGATCTGAGTTTGTTTCTGCACGCCATAGTTTAAACATTTTAAAATAGAATTTTTATTTAGAAAATTTCATTTGCGATCTATTCAACCCCTCTTCTAGATCGTAGTCTATCGTCTAACAAATGAATTATAACCTTGCAACCAGAGTAAATGTTTCATCAAAGTCGACTCCTTCTTCTTGATAATATCCTTGAGCCACCAATATTGCCTTGTTTTGAACAATTATACCATTTCCATCTAGCTTATTCTTAAACACCCATTTTGTGCCAATGATGTGTTTACCATTGAAAGTGCAATCACATTATCATATGGTATCTTTTACTTGTTTTGATGTTTTTACCAATTTGAATGTATTTGTTATAATTTGTTTATGTATTTACAATTTGTTTATCATTCAATATTCGCATGTTTGTATTCTATTCTATTTTGAGTTATATTGTATTCGACTCAGCTATTTCAAGTATTGTACCATTAAGACCCTTCATTACTCAATAAATTATAGTGTTTGATCCATGATAGTGTTCCTTTTTTTTAGCAAATTTGTCTTTTTTCTATTTCATTAGGCGTGGCTTGAATCACAAGTTAGAGCTATTAGATCAACATGTTGAATTACTTGATTCAATTATAGTGTTAATTGTAATTCGAATTAGGAACCTTTTAAAATTTTGGATTTGCCTCTGGATTAATTGATTCAAATCACCAAAAGAACTTGATTCAAATCACAACCTCATGTGACTCGAGTCAAGTGTTAATTTTGATTTGAATCAAATGTCTCTATGAAGCCAAATTTTTGCTCTGTTCAAATTGACTCGAATCAATCATATAACTTGATTTAAATCTCAAAATCTTGTGATTTGAATCATAATTTCTTCTTGACTCGAATCAAAGCTTCACAAATCCAATTTTCCATCTTAGATTTAAATAGTTGTTTCTTTGATCCAAAAAACAAGTGTGAAACTATGTGGGTGAAACCCTTAGAGACAAAATATCAATTTGTCTTCTCTTCTTTAATGTGTATATTTCTATCACCATGAATCTTTCTCTTCTTCTCAAAAACAACTTCTTGAGTGTTAATCCATGTCAGATTCACTTCTTTTTATTGCACCTTGTTCTTTTTCAATTTGTTGTTATTTTGAATGAATTAGAGAGAATGAGTTGATTAATCTTGTAGTGTTTTTCATGATTAATCAAGCTCATGATAGCAATCAAGAACCAAGACCCATTCATCCAAAATTTAGAAAGAACCTTGTGCGTGTGTTCTTCTTTCACATTCATCTAATCCCTTGACTAACAACTTGTGTATTAGAGTGTTTGTGAGATAGCCTGACATTTTTCATCATCTTTATCCTTAGTCATTTCCATGGTTGTGGAACTTCATCTCTAAATATTAAGTGTTAAGGGAGACTAATGTCACATTATGATATCCAATGTTTTTGTATGAAGTTTGATGTTTTATAACAGGTGCATGTATCATTTCTTGAATGTTGTTTAGTCTTTATTGTTATTTATTAAGGAGAGAGTTTCAATATACTCCATGGAAGAATTTGGCGAGATCAAGTATCAAATGTCTGCAAGGTAGAGCTGGAAGTTATTCATCTTTTGGTGGAGTTGGAGAAAGATTTCTTGCAAAAAAAGTTGGGAGTTGTCTCATCAACACTTAGCTAATGGAAATCTCTCAGACAAGAAATTGGTGGGATCAAGTGGGTTTCCATACACGAATATATGGATAAAGTTATTGAATCAAGATATTTAGAAGTCTTATTTTTGTTAGTAGTTTGAGATCAGGTGGATTGCCATACACAAATACTTGGAGTAGGTTATTATGGATAACAAGGTTATTGGTGTTGGAACAAATTTAGTTTATATGGTTTATACCATATCTCTAAAGTTTTGATGATAACAAAGTATTTAAGGAACAATTGGGTATATAATATATGTTCAAGTGTGCAGAATCATAGACTAAAATTTTTGATATAAACTTAGTACTATTATTGAAAATGAACATTTAAAGAGAAGATAAAAGATCCAGAATCTGGAAGATCAGAATCTGAGAACCAGACTATGAAGGAGGTCAACTTCTAAAGACCAAACTCTAAAGAAAGTCAACCTCTAAAGATCCACACTTTGAAGGATTAGAACCTGAGATCCATAATGTGAAGCAGATCAACACAAGGATCAAGAAGACTCTGATAGGTCACTATCGGACTCAGGGAGACTACTACAAATAATACATTTCACGGTAAAGCTTTCCCCTCAGCCAAAAAAACAACTGAGGTATAATGCCAAGGCGCTCCATGTTTTATTATTTTTAAAAATAAAAACCACATATTCCCTAGGTTTTTAAATATAACCGAGGGGTAAAACAATTCAGAACATGCTTCAAATCTCAGCTATTGTAGTTTATGTTTTTATTTGTTTATAAGTGTAAACTAAATAATTTATCCCTTCAGTTTTCATAACAATCAAAGGATAAAATAATCAGATGTTACTATAAAAACAATCATTAAACAAATTTTACCCTAATCCTAACTTATATGTAGCCGCCCCACAATCGTATACATTATTATTTTGGGATGGATTGCAAGACAAGAAAACATTCTTCTATCTTGAACAAAATATTTTTTGCCACCCTTGCAATCTATCTCACATGATAGTGTTGATGTCATTGT